CGCAAGTCGCGGAATAATCCATGGTTGAAACAGTTTTACTTTGGGGCTGAATTCCATGCTGTATCGCGAAGCCAGCAGAGTTATTTAGTTGTAATTGTAGACCTTATTCTCTAGTCTTATCCCAATTTGTTTGGGGTCGGCGCAACATGTCTTTTTCTTCCATTACTTTCTTTCAGCAGTCAAATCCTTACTTACGCCTTTATTTTTATTTCGTCTTTTATACAATCCATCCAAGTTTTTTGAGGCCTTCTTCTTCATAAATTGAAAATGAGAAAATTGAAAAATTCATCAGCGACCGTCGGGACTTGAACCCGGGACCGTAAGGTACCATCCCTCCGTTCTGCCAACTGAGCTACGGGCGCCTAGCGAACCCTGATGTATTTCTCAACCTCTTGATCGTTGACCTCTTGGTCGCTGATGAATTTTTTCTCATTTTCAATTTGTGAGAATAATATAGCACTGTGAGTGCATTAAAAATCCCAATTCATCCACATTCATGTCCATTGCTTCCTTTGTTACGCTAATCAAATATTTGTTTGTCTTCCAGGTGGCGATGGCCGGCGACTTCATCCTCGCCGTGGCGTCGATGATGATAGCTCGCTTGCGCAGCGATGACGTCACACTCGTGCTCAGCCAGGTACGTATAGTACACACTACTAACTTGTATACTTACTGCCGTGGCGTCGATGATGATAGCTCGCTTGCGCAGCGATGACGTCACACTCGTGCTCAGCCAGGTACGTATAGTACACACTACTAACTTGTATACTTACTGGTACGTATAGTACACACTACTAACTTGTATACTTACTGCCGTGGCGTCGATGATGATAGCTCGCTTGATGACGTCACACTCGTGCTCAGCCAGGTACGTATAGTACACACTACTAACTTGTATACTTACTGCCGTGGCGTCGATGATGATAGCTCGCTTGCGCAGCGATGACGTCACACTCGTGCTCAGCCAGGTACGTATAGTACACACTACTAACTTGTATACTTACTGGTACGTATAGTACACACTACTAACTTGTATACTTACTGCCGTGGCGTCGATGATGATAGCTCGCTTGATGATGACGTCACACTCGTGCTCAGCCAGGTACGTATAGTACACACTACTAACTTGTATACTTACTGCCGTGGCGTCGATGATGATAGCTCGCTTGCGCAGCGATGACGTCACACTCGTGCTCAGCCAGGTACGTATAGTACACACTACTAACTTGTATACTTACTGCCGTGGCGTCGATGATGATAGCTCGCTTGATGATGACGTCACACTCGTGCTCAGCCAGGTACGTATAGTACACACTACTAACTTGTATACTTACTGCCGTGGCGTCGATGATGATAGCTCGCTTGATGACGTCACACTCGTGCTCAGCCAGGTACGTATAGTACACACTACTAACTTGTATACTTACTGCCGTGGCGTCGATGATGATAGCTCGCTTGCGCAGCGATGACGTCACACTCGTGCTCAGCCAGGTACGTATAGTACACACTACTAACTTGTATACTTACTGTCGTGGCGTCGATGATGATAGCTCGCTTGATGATGACGTCACACTCGTGCTCAGCCAGGTACGTATAGTACACACTACTAACTTGTATACTTACTGCCGTGGCGTCGATGATGATAGCTCGCTTGATGACGTCACACTCGTGCTCAGCCAGGTACGTATAGTACACACTACTAACTTGTATACTTACTGCCGTGGCGTCGATGATGATAGCTCGCTTGATGATGACGTCACACTCGTGCTCAGCCAGGTACGTATAGTACACTACTAACTTGTATACTTACTGCCGTGGCGTCGATGATGATAGCTCGCTTGATGACGTCACACTCGTGCTCAGCCAGGTACGTATAGTACACACTACTAACTTGTATACTTACTGCCGTGGCGTCGATGATGATAGCTCGCTTGATGATGACGTCACACTCGTGCTCAGCCAGGTACGTATAGTACACACTACTAACTTGTATACTTACTGCCGTGGCGTCGATGATGATAGCTCGCTTGATGACGTCACACTCGTGCTCAGCCAGGTACGTATAGTACACACTACTAACTTGTATACTTACTGTCGTGGCGTCGATGATGATAGCTCGCTTGATGATGACGTCACACTCGTGCTCAGCCAGGTACGTATAGTACACACTACTAACTTGTATACTTACTGCCGTGGCGTCGATGATGATAGCTCGCTTGCGCAGCGATGACGTCACACTCGTGCTCAGCCAGGTACGTATAGTACACACTACTAACTTGTATACTTACTGCCGTGGCGTCGATGATGATAGCTCGCTTGATGACGTCACACTCGTGCTCAGCCAGGTACGTATAGTACACACTACTAACTTGTATACTTACTGCCGTGGCGTCGATGATGATAGCTCGCTTGCGCAGCGATGACGTCACACTCGTGCTCAGCCAGGTACGTATAGTACACACTACTAACTTGTATACTTACTGTCGTGGCGTCGATGATGATAGCTCGCTTGATGATGACGTCACACTCGTGCTCAGCCAGGTACGTATAGTACACACTACTAACTTGTATACTTACTGCCGTGGCGTCGATGATGATAGCTCGCTTGCGCAGCGATGACGTCACACTCGTGCTCAGCCAGGTACGTATAGTACACACTACTAACTTGTATACTTACTGCCGTGGCGTCGATGATGATAGCTCGCTTGATGACGTCACACTCGTGCTCAGCCAGGTACGTATAGTACACACTACTTACTTGTATACTTACTGCCGTGGCGTCGATGATGATAGCTCGCTTGATGACGTCACACTCGTGCTCAGCCAGGTACGTATAGTACACACTACTAACTTGTATACTTACTGTCGTGGCGTCGATGATGATAGCTCGCTTGCGCAGCGATGACGTCACACTCGTGCTCAGCCAGGTACGTATAGTACACACTACTAACTTGTATACTTACTGCCGTGGCGTCGATGATGATAGCTCGCTTGATGACGTCACACTCGTACTCAGCCAGGTACGTATAGTACACACTACTAACTTGTATACTTACTGCCGTGGCGTCGATGATGATAGCTCGCTTGCGCAGCGACGACGTCACACTCGTGCTCAGCCAGGTACGTATAGTACACACTACTAACTTGTATACTTACTGCCGTGGCGTCGATGATGATAGCTCGCTTGATGACGTCACACTCGTGCTCAGCCAGGTACGTATAGTACACACTACTAACTTGTATACTTACTGCCGTGGCGTCGATGATGATAGCTCGCTTGATGATGACGTCACACTCGTGCTCAGCCAGGTACGTATAGTACACACTACTAACTTGTATACTTACTGCCGTGGCGTCGATGATGATAGCTCGCTTGATGACGTCACACTCGTGCTCAGCCAGGTACGTATAGTACACACTACTAACTTGTATACTTACTGTCGTGGCGTCGATGATGATAGCTCGCTTGCGCAGCGATGACGTCACACTCGTGCTCAGCCAGGTACGTATAGTACACACTACTAACTTGTATACTTACTGCCGTGGCGTCGATGATGATAGCTCGCTTGATGACGTCACACTCGTACTCAGCCAGGTACGTATAGTACACACTACTAACTTGTATACTTACTGCCGTGGCGTCGATGATGATAGCTCGCTTGCGCAGCGACGACGTCACACTCGTGCTCAGCCAGGTACGTATAGTACACACTACTAACTTGTATACTTACTGCCGTGGCGTCGATGATGATAGCTCGCTTGATGACGTCACACTCGTGCTCAGCCAGGTACGTATAGTACACACTACTAACTTGTATACTTACTGCCGTGGCGTCGATGATGATAGCTCGCTTGATGACGTCACACTCGTGCTCAGCCAGGTACGTATAGTACACACTACTAACTTGTATACTTACTGTCGTGGCGTCGATGATGATAGCTCGCTTGCGCAGCGATGACGTCACACTCGTGCTCAGCCAGGTACGTATAGTACACACTACTAACTTGTATACTTACTGCCGTGGCGTCGATGATGATAGCTCGCTTGATGACGTCACACTCGTGCTCAGCCAGGTACGTATAGTACACACTACTAACTTGTATACTTACTGCCGTGGCGTCGATGATGATAGCTCGCTTGATGACGTCACACTCGTGCTCAGCCAGGTACGTATAGTACACACAACTAACTTGTATACTTACTGCCGTGGCGTCGATGATGATAGCTCGCTTGATGATGACGTCACACTCGTGCTCAGCCAGGTACGTATAGTACACACTACTAACTTGTATACTTACTGCCGTGGCGTCGATGATGATAGCTCGCTTGCGCAGCGATGACGTCACACTCGTGCTCAGCCAGGTACGTATAGTACACACTACTAACTTGTATACTTACTGCCGTGGCGTCGATGATGATAGCTCGCTTGATGATGACGTCACACTCGTGCTCAGCCAGGTACGTATAGTACACACTACTAACTTGTATACTTACTGCCGTGGCGTCGATGATGATAGCTCGCTTGATGATGACGTCACACTCGTGCTCAGCCAGGTACGTATAGTACACACTACTAACTTGTATACTTACTGCCGTGGCGTCGATGATGATAGCTCGCTTGCGCAGCGATGACGTCACACTCGTGCTCAGCCAGGTACGTATAGTACACACTACTAACTTGTATACTTACTGTCGTGGCGTCGATGATGATAGCTCGCTTGATGACGTCACACTCGTGCTCAGCCAGGTACGTATAGTACACACTACTAACTTGTATACTTACTGCCGTGGCGTCGATGATGATAGCTCGCTTGCGCAGCGATGACGTCACACTCGTGCTCAGCCAGGTACGTATAGGACACAGTCTACTTGTACTGGTATACTTTTACTAGTTTTTCCCACATCCTTATTAATATTTTTAAATGCAAGCCTTCTTGTAGTTGAATAATTAATTCCACTTCTTCGTTTAGGTAGTTATATAAAAACTTTCAAAAGTCTCCGCCGCGGATAGAATTTGAACCTGCGACTTTTGGCATCTGTAGTGCCGAAGCCTGTACCAACTGGGCTACCGCGGCTCTATGTTAGCCGACTTCGAATAACTAATGTTTAAAACCTGCCTGTATACCTAAAAAAAATATACCTAACACGGGAAGTTTTTGGAGTTCAACTTTTTGTATGCTATTTTCTAACCTACGTTATTCATTTATTTCCAGGTGGTAACCGACCTGGTCCAGGGCGAGTTCATGCAGCTCGGCAGCAAGGAGACGGAGAACGAGCGGTTCGCGCACTACCTCACCAAGACCTACAGGAAAACAGCATCGCTCATCGCCAACGCCGTCAAAGCGGTACGTGTCGAATACCGTCATTCTTTAGAGTCTTAAAGCCAGGTTTCATTAGTTAAGATCCGACCAAGAGACTGAGAACGAGCGGTTCGCGCACTACCTCACCAAGACCTACAGAAAAACAGCCACGCTCATCGCCAACGCCGTCAAAGCGGTACGTGTCATATACCGTCATTCTTTTAAGTCGTAGAGTCAAGTTTTTAATGGTTGTGAACTAGTCAGGAGGCTGGGAACGAGCGGTTCGCGCACTACCTCACCAAGACCTACAGGAAAACAGCATCGCTCATCGCCAACGCCGTCAAAGCGGTACGTGTCGTATGCCATCTTTCCTTAAGTCAAGTTTACACTCCACGTGGCCGAACAAACGGAGTCGGTGAGTAGTCTCCCGAATTGGCAGGAGATCGCACAGAACAGGGATCAGTGGAGAGAGCTCGTTTCGGAGGCCAATATCCTCTTTGAGTCATCGGAGTTAGTTAGAAAAGTTTGCGTTAGTTAGGATCCGGCTAGGAGACTGAGAACGAGCGGTTCGCGCACTACCTCACCAAGACCTACAGGAAAACAGCATCGCTCATCGCCAACGCCGTCAAAGCGGTACGTGTCGTATGCCATATTTTTAAAGCCAGGTTTACATAAGTTTCGCGCACTACTTTACCTCGTCGATCGAAAATTAGTACAATCGTCCTAATTATGATTGTACTAATGTTCGATCATCCTAATATTTGATTGTCCTAAATACTGATTGTCCACCATGTTATATGTCCTTTTCTAGTCCTAGTTTTGATGGTTTTATCAGTAGATCAGTAGCTCTACTAAGTAGTCAGTTTCAGATTCGCAAAAAGTAAACCTATGATTTTAAATTTAGTTATTTTTTCGGGAGAACAGGATTTAATACTATTATATTCGAAATATAGCATTACATTATAGGATGTTACTTTATGTGTTTTGTAGATAGAACTGTTGTTACATTTCCGTTCTGTTTACCAATCACGCGATTGGATGCAAATATGGTGGTACCTACTACTTTATCATATCACGCGTGTTATGAAGATCCTATTCAAAATCACTGAAACATTTATCTCAAATAAATTGTTGATCACTCCAATAAATTGATTACCTACCAAATTTTCTGTAGGTACTATCTGTAGGTAATTATCTGTAGGTACTGCGGACGCCTCTAGGGCTACAGGGGCTCATTCGTAGCCTGCGAATTTGCAAGTTTATTTTGACCACCACTAACGCGTGGTCGGACTCCATCTACTGGGATAATTTGGCAAACTATATCGCGGGTTTTCATCGTTTTGGCTACATCCTACATTACATTTTTTTCATACGAGATTTTCCACCGCAGGCTGGATTTGAACCAGCGACCTTCGCCATCTGTACTGGCGACGCCTCTACCATCTGGGCTACAGCAGCTCACTCCAAGCCCGTGAATTTTGCAAGTGTATCTTGACCTGCGTGGTAGGGCTCCATTTACCGGGATAGTTTTGCAACTATTTCCCAGCGATCAATCCATTCTTTACAGGTATTCAATTTATCGCGGGTTTTCCTCACTTTGACTACCTCCAATCTGTACTGAATGGATTAGTTGCAAAACTATCCCGGTAGATGGAGTCCCACCATTAGTGGTCAAGATACACTTGCCTATTTCACTGTAGCCCAGATGGTATAGTTGTCGCCAGTATAGCTGGTTAAAATCCAGCTTGCGGTGGAAAAATTTGCAAGTTTTCCAAATATTGTATACCTAAAACGGGTAGTGTTTTTGAATTTTTGTATCTACCTTCTTAGTTATCTAATTTTCGTTTGTTCCTGAATTTAGTTCAAAGGGAGGACTGAACGAATGACTTTCTCGATAATGCTAAGCTCAACCGAACTACTTTACCCAAAGGACTTATAATAAAAAATAAATTAAGTTCAACTTACAAGAAAACAACTCGTTATTATTTTTTTGTAAGAGAGTTTAATTTTTTTATACTTTTAACTTTATTTCACGGGGAAAGTTGTTTAAATTAACCTGTTCAGCTTAGTTTTTTTGGGAAATTCAGCCCTTCGGTGCCTCCCCATATGATTTTAATAATTAACTACAGTTTGGTTTGAAACATTTTAATTCCAACTTTCGTAAATATTATATATATATGCCTGTCCTGTATGTTTCAAAAGTGTTTTAAAATGATTCGCCTGGAAACTAATGTATCTAGACAGTTTACTTGTTGATATTTTTAATCTACCTCTCGCAAAAAAAAAGTCGTGTCTCCTGCTCGTGTTTTTTTTCAAACAAAATCAACAAAATGCAAAGCCATTGACAAAACACTGATATACATTGCGACGTCATTATAAAAACGTGAATAAGCACGCCACAATGTACATCGATGCTTTCTGTTTTTGGAAAACACGCCTTAAGTTCAACAAAATCAACAGCCAGCACAAATAACTTAACTGGAGTATATAGGATTTCTGGCCTGGATACAAGCCCTTTAAGCTCATACGAAAATTCGATGATTTTCTTTTGTTTGGAAAACACGGCTTAAGTTCAACAAAATCAACAACCAGCACAGAAAACCCTCAGTTTCAAAGCTCGCCATGTTTACAGGTGGCGCTGCTAAGCGGCGCGGACGAAAGCACATGCGAGCTGGCGTTCCAATACGGCCGCAACCTCGGCCTGTCCTTCCAGCTGGTGGACGACCTGCTGGACTTCGTATCGTCAGCACAGGCCATGGGAAAACCTACTGCTGCAGACCTGAAGCTCGGCCTGGCCACCGCGCCCGTGCTATTCGCTTGTGAAAAGGTATGTTCCCATGATTACCGCCATCTTTACTTAATATCTGTTAGCTAGTGAGATGAATCGTGAGGTTGATTCTAGCAAGATAAATATCCACTGAAAGGAAGCGACATCCACCATTTGCTTTCCAGTGAATAATTTTATTTACGTTCTCAAATGTCAGTACAATCAATGCTCAGTTGACACAATCGGCCGGGATACAAGCACAAATAAGGAAAACGGCGCGCGGGCGCCCTATAAGCTCACACGTAAAGTATTGCCAGTTTTGATAAATAAATTAAACATGGTAGAATAATTCTACCATTATACTTGGATCTCAAAGTTTTAAAAATTAGGATTTAAAATTTTTATTATTTTATGTATCTTTATACTTACATAAAATAATAAAATATCTGGACCACATGTTAATTATACGAAAATTACGAAAATCGTAATTTTCAACTGAGCGTGGAAATGAAACACGGTTTTTCATTTTGGATCCAGGTATTTTGATTCTATTATCCACGATCCTAATGAAAGTTGTAATTCCCGTGTTGCAGTACCCAGAGCTGAACCCGATGATCATGAGGCGGTTCCAGGAGGCGGGCGACGTGGCGCGCGCCTTCGAGCTGGTGCACAAGTCCCGCGGCCTCGAGCAGACGCGCTTCCTCGCGCGGCAGCACGGCGCGGAGGCGGCGCGTCTGGCCAGCCAACTCGCAGACTCCCCCTACCAGAAAGGCCTCGTCGTCACCACCGACTTAGTCCTCAACCGGATCAAATAGCCGGAAGAAACCACCCCGAAAGGTTAACCTTTTAAAGTAGGTTTTGGGACCGCTTTTTGATGTATTTTTTCTCGGATACCTTTTTTAATAGGAGTGCGATTTAGACTGTGAATGTGACGTGAAGCGCGGCTCGTCCGCAGACTTTAGAGTGATTGTGACTATGACGTGGGGTATGCCGTGAGAGCCGCATGGCGAAATATTATTATAGATATTTTTATCATACCATGTGTCCTGCTACTGCTACTATGCGTATTGAGGAATTATATAACGAAACGTTTTACATATAAAAGTACATATTAATTACAGTACACTTGCTATTCTTATCAGTTAGACTGATGGTTGTCGATGTCATAGAGATGTCGATTATTATATATCGTATTTTATTTTTTGTTTATGTACATAATTATTATTTATATTATAACGTGTTATTCTGTTATTCATTTACTTATGTATTCCTCACTTTTGTGACCTGATTTAATTTAAGATAGTTTTCTATTGCAATGTTTTTTAACATCGTGAACTATCTACACCTGTCTAGAAATATCGTTAGGGTGAGTGTGTATGTGACTACTCGTTACCAAATACTACTGCCGTGTTACGTAGGGTACGTTACGCTCAACTGTAGTCTGTCGCATTGCCTTACTCGTGCGGAACCAAACAGCCATCATATCCATGACGCTTCGTAGAGACGGGTCAATTTGACCCTGTGTTGTAATTCTTCCACTTTGCAATCATTCACTAATTGTGCATAGTGGTAAAGTACCCGTTAAGCAACGGACACCATCGCATCATCCGCCGAACCGGCTCGAGACCCACTTGTGATCCTACATTTATTTTAGACAAATACGCAAGTCTAAGTTGGCAACACTGGTGACTGTCGCCTTTGCCGAAGCAGCGCAGCTAGCGAAAAGCGCTCGGTGTTGCTAGATTAGAAATATCGTATCTCATTGGTAGTTTTATTAAGTGGGCCCCGGGCTGCCCGGCCTCAACATGTACTTTGCTGTGTAAATACCGAGAGTCATTGGATAAGTTACCCGTGTTTTATTTTCGAAACCAATTACCTCAATTTCTTAGTGTACGCACGATACACATCACTAGTGTGTATGTTCTGATATATTGTTAAATTGTAAGTTTGTATGAGGCCACACAACTTTTGGCGAAATCTTGAAGCCGTTAGAAACTTAAAACGTTTT